AGCGGCTTCATGTAGATGTTAAACAACATGGGAGACAGTATTGAACCCTGAGGAACCCCACAAGACAAAGGTTGTGGGGTTGAACAGGAGTCTCCCAATAACACCATCTGAGACCGACCCTCGAGGAATGAGCGGAGCCACTGCAAACAGTACCTCCAAGACCCATCCCCGCGAGGCGTCCCAGAAGGATACTGTGGTCGACGGTATCGAAGGCCGCTGAGAGGTCGAGCAGCACCAACAGGGACACACTCCCCCTGTCGAGCTCCCGACGCAGATCATCCACTAAGGCGACCAAGGCTGTCTCGGTACCATGCCCCGGCCTAAAGCCAGACTGTGCCGGATCCTAGATAATCCGTGTCTACCAAGAATGCCTGGAGTTGTGAGGCCACCACACGTTCCATGACTTTGCCCAAAAAGGGGAGATTGGGAACAGGCCGATAGTTGACGAATTGAGTGGGGTCCAGTGATGGTTTCTTCAACAGCGGTTTTATTACAGCTTGCTTTAAGCTGGCTGGAATTTTGCCTTCCCGAAGGGAGGCATTAACCACCACCTTCACCCACTCGGCCAATCCCCCTCTGGCCTCCTTTAGAAGCCAGGATGGGCAGGGGTCTAGGATGCATGTGGTAGCTCTCATTCCTCCAAGCACCTTGTCCACATCCTCGGATTGAACCAATTGAAATGATTGAAACCAATTATACACCCAGTCGTCTTATATGCCGGAATATACGGTAATATAATAATAACTCACCCTCCCTCCCTAAAGGGACTCAGGGCAGCTTCCAAAAACAAAATGGCACACATTCAATGCCATTTTTAGTGTCAAAATAAGCAAAACAGAAGGGAAACGATTAAAATTAACAGTTTTATTTATTTATCGTATCAGAGGCGAATCGAGGGGACAGTTGTAATGTATTTAAAAACACAATCAGAGTTTACTAAATGCCCTTTGAGTAGTAGCTGGCCCCTTGGAGTTCCTCTGGTGTTGCTGTAAGAAGAAGGTCCTCCATTGTGCATGTGGCAGGGCTCAGTCAGGCCTCATAAATAACACATTAAGCAGTTAAAATCTATAAAAAAATATGGCTTTCCTATAAGTTAAGGTAATCACCGTCAGCATTGTCAGTCGAGGTAGAACCAATGGCAAACTGGTCACCTTCCTCTCCGTAGGCTAACGTGCAAAAGTAGGCTTTTAGTTGTTACTTTAATGGGGAAGAGTGAGGAGGCTGTTCTAATTTCCATAGGGAAAATTAGAATTTATAAATGTATTTATAAACTCTATAAATTAGCCTTTAGTTCATTAATGGCTGCGAAATTGATAGTTACACAGAACTGGAAAGGTAAAATGGAAGTAAGTCCCTTTGGAAGAATGGTATATAGCGATCAATGATAAGCTGACTTGTGACATAAAAGTTTTAAAAGGATATATGGAAACAAACGGATTTCTGGAACATACGGGGTAAATGTATTGAGTTTATATTCGTGGAAGGAAAGGGAAACAAACCTGCAACAGAAACAATGAAATTTTGGGATTAAAAGATAAGTTGAGTTGGTCCAGGTGGAGGTGGTACAAGGAAAGGGTGTGGGATATAAAGTAGTAGTAGTAGTAGTAGTTACTGCTTATGCGATCCCTCGCTTTCCGAGGATGATTGTCTTCCAATATTCTTGTGGGTCCGTATGTGGCTCTGGAGCCCTATTCTTGCTCTGCATCTTCTTCCGCAGTGAGGGCATTGGTTTCCAGGTGGAAGGCGGTCCCGGTCGGGGTTGGCTTGACGCGCCTTCCTCTTGGCACGTTTCTCTCTTTTCACCCTCCACTCGTGCCTCCTCAAATTCTGCAGCACTGCTGGTCACAGCTGACCTCCAGCTGGAGCGGTCAAGGGCCAGGGCTTCCCAGTTCTCAGTGTCTATGCCAGAGTTTTTAAGGTTGGCTTTGAGCCCATCTTTCAATCTCTTTTCTTGCCCTCCAACATTCCGTTTTCCGTTCTTGAGTTCGGAGTAGAGCAGCTGTTTTGGGAGACGGTGGTCGGGCATCCGGACAACATGGCCGGTCCAGCGGAGTTGGTGGCGGAGGACCATTGCTTCAATGCTGGTGGTCTTTGCTTCTTCCAGCACGCTGACGTTTGTCCGCTTGTCTTCCCAAGAGATTTGCAGGATTTTCCGGAGGCAGCGCTGATGGAATCGTTCCAGGAGTTGCATGTGACGTCTGTAGACAGTCCACGTTTCGCAGGCATATAGCAGGGTTGGGAGGACAATAGCTTTATAGACAAGCACCTTGGTAACCCTACGGATGTCCCGGTCCTCAAACACTCTCTGCTTCATTCGGAAAAATGCTGCACTCGCAGAGCTCAGGTGGTGTTGTATTTCGGTGTTGATGTTGACTTTGGTGGAGAGGTGGCTGCCAAGGTAGCGGAAATGATCAACATTTTCTAATGTTACACCATTAAGCTGTATCACTGGCATTGGAGAGGGGTTGGCTGGTGCCTGCTGGAAAAGCACCTTGGTTTTTTCAATGTTCAATGACAGGCCGAGCTTCTCGTATGCTTCTGCAAAGGTGTTTAGAGTGGCTTGTAGATCTTCTTCTGAATGCGCACAGACGACGTTGTCATCAGCATACTGGAGTTCTATAACAGATGTTGTTGTAACCTTGGTTTTGGCTTTCAGTCTGCTGAGGTTGAATAGCTTGCCATCTGTCCGATAGATGATTTCCACTCCGGTGGGAAGCTTCCCATCAACAAGGTGAAGTATCATAGCGATGAAGATGGAGAATAGAGTTGGGGCAATAACACATCCCTGTTTGACACCGGATTCCACCTTAAATGGGTCACTTTGGGAGCCATTGCTGTCCAAAACTGTTGCCATCATGTCATCATGGAGGAGCCGCAGGATGTTCACAAATTTGTTAGGGCACCCGATTTTTTGGAGGATGGTCCAGAGAGCGCTGCTGGTCCAGAGAGTAGTAGTAATAACAACAATAATAAGGATAAGTAGTTTGTAAGGAGCTTTGAGTCCCCTGTGGGGTGAGAAGGGTGGGGTATAAATATAGTTAAATAAATAAATAACAGAATATAGTTAAATAGATAGAAAATTGTAATATAATCACAAACATAACATGTTTCAAGCAGATAAAGTTTAAAACTATATGGGAAGCATTTTATTACCATGTTTATTGTTATTTTAGATTTCTATTCAAAATGTTAATATGCTCAATGATTTTATGTATAAGCTTTTTTATGATATGAAGATTTATTTTTTTTACTTTTTACATATTGTGTACTTTGGGGAGATGATGGTGGGATACAAGAATAAAGTTGTTGTTGTGATTATTATTAATATTGGTCGCTGTCCACTCTGTCGCTTTGAAGAAAAGGTAACGATTTATTAACAGGACTTGGGCCTCACTCCACCCAGGCACGCGCTTGATTTCCCCACAACCAAGTTAATATTCAAAACTTGAAATATAACTTAAGGATTCTAAAACTTCCAGATGTGGATTTTCCTGAGGAGTATAAATGGCAGTTCTCCTTGCTCTCGGTCTGTGGTGTATGAGGCCTCTAATGCACCCAAAACCCAAGGCGATAAGCAGTTGTTTAACTAATAGATTGAAGTATTTGTTGTATAGTAGCTAGTTGATGGTAGCTGGTTGATGCTGAAGCACAACTGGTTAAGTTAAAGCTGCTGGCTGTAGTTACTGAAGCTCAACTGGTTATGTTAAATTGATTTGAAATGGCTTTTCCAAACCTGAATTTCTGGGACCGACTGAAGACGTGTCTTGTCTCAAGGATTCCCGGGTGGTCTGTGCTATAAAATGGCTCCTTTACCTCAGAAAAGGGGCGTGGCCAACCAACTCACAAAGGGCTCCTTTTTCCTCAGGCAAAAGGGGGCGTGGCCAATACACTGACACAAAATGGCTCCCTTTTCCTCAGACAAAAGGGCAAACACAATGGTGGACACAAGCCAGGAAGTGTTTTGCTAAGCTCCACCCTAAAAAAAACTACCAACAACAGTAACTGCTCTAAAACTATGGGCGAGAAACAGGGGCGGCTCAACCACTATGCAACGTAAGCATTTGCGGTATACTGCATTTTATTCATTTATTTATTTCGCGCATTTCTACCCCGCCCTTCTCAACCCCTGAGGGGGGACTCAGGGTGGCTTACAAAGGCACAATTCGATGCCAGCATAAACATAACAATGGATTAAAACATGTAAACAGCAATTATAACAATTAAAACAGTCAGTATATACATCAAAATCAATAAAAACAATCTAATGCTCAGCGTTCGCCATCTCGGAGTCCGTAAATTCATTCCACATTGTCAAGTACTATTGATTCTGGTCGTCATTGTCCTTATCTAACCGCCAGATTGCCCAAAAGCCTGGTCCCACAACCATGTTTTTAATTTCCTTCTGAAAGAGAGGAGGGATGTCGATGACCTAATTTCCCCGGGGAGTGAATTCCACAGGCAAGGAGCCACTACCGAGAAGGCCCTTCTCCTTGTCCCCACCAATCTCACTTGTGATAGAGGTGGGGTCGAGAGCAGGGCCTCCCCAGAAGATCTCAAACTCCGAGGTGGGACGTAGAGGGAGATGCGTTCGGACAGGTACGCTGTTTTGTCAAGACCAGCACTTTGAATTGTGCTCGGAACTGGATCAGCAGTCAGTGGAGCTGACATAACAGAGGGGTGTTATGCTCCCTGTATGACGCTCTGGTGAGTAATCTGGCTGCCGCCCGCTGGACTACTTGAAGTTTCCGAACAGTCTTCAAAGGCAACCCCACGTAGAGTGCGTTGCAGTAATCTATTCGGGATGTAACAAGAGCGTGGACCACCGTGGCCAGATCCGACTTCCCAAGGTACGGGCGCAGCTGGCGCACAAGTTTTAATTGTGCAAAATTAAAACTATGGGTGAGAAACAGGGGCGGCTCAACCACTATGCAAAGTAAGCATTTGCGGTATACTGCATTTTGCCCAGGGGCGCTCTTGAGGCGCCTCTATAAATGCCCCAGGCCAACTTGCACAGCGGTGGTTAGCAGAACTTCGCACCGTGGACTTGCTTCCAAAGGAGAAGAAGCAGCGGCAGCACAAAGAGGGGAGTCGCCATGTTGCCGCCGCCTCCTCCGTGGGCCTAACCAGCCCTCTCTATCCCCGCCACCTCCTTCACCTCGCCTTAGCCTCAGGAGGAGGAAGCGCCGCTGCTAAGAGACATGGTCCACCGCGAGGAGGAGGAGGAGGAGAGCAGGAGGAGGACCATGTGTCCTGGCGGCAGTGCTTCCTCCTCCTGAGGTGAAGGTGAGGCGGAGGAGGTGGCGGGGAAGGAGGGCGCCGGTTAGACCCTTGGAGGAGGCGGCGGCGACATGGCGGCTGCTGCTGCTTCTTCTCCGTTGGTGATTTGGGCACCCCCCCCCCCAAAAAAATAAGGGATAGTGACTTATAGTTCTGTAAAGGGCAAGGGCACCAGACTACACAACAAGGGTCAAGTCTTGGTCACCTTGCCCAAGCACTGACAACAACAAGGACCCCACAAGGCTTTTGGGAAACGGCTGGATCTTGGGACTTCTGCCCTCCATGAGAGTTGTAGTTTCCCAGGGACCAGCTTCGATCCCAGCGTGGCAGCTCTGCCTAATGTTTTGGACTCACAAGGACATCTTTCCTGCTCATGGACTCACATTGCTTGAAAATAATTTCTTTATTAAATTTCTCTGGTGGGTGGGATGGAGACGGGGTGATTGATCTATATACTTTTCTTCTCTGTATTTCCTTCACAAGTCTGACCCAGCCATGAACTCTTTTGCCCTTTGGGAGGCTGATCAGGGAGCGGCCCGCTGGGCTGAAAAGGCAATCGGGAATCACAAAAACACCTATTTACTTGGAACTCACATCTGAACAATGGGACCTGGAGTTATTATTTGACTTTCGGAGGGGGTCATCAGACTGTGATTTCCTCTGCCAAGTTTTCCTTCACAACAAACATCCTTCTCAGCCTCACCTTTTACCTTATCTGATCTTGGAAGGGGAAAACCTGAATCAAATGATTATCCCTAATCACTGATCCATCACAAGAACAAAAAAACTAGTTTCCTTGGCTGGCTGATTCCCTGGGCACAGGACAATAGAATGTCGTCATCCTCTCTGGACACAATGCCCCTCTTCCGTCCTGCCTCTCTCTCCCTGATTTGCTAAGGAGCCGAAGAGTTTTGAAATGTTTTCCTGTATTTTGCCTATAAAAATGCCTGTAAATTCTGTATTGTAAGTATCTGATCAAGGGAGGATCAGATAAGGGAGACATCCCTGTATTGAAACTTTGTTTTGTAATAAGTGCTTCACCTCAGGAAGATACTGAGGTGTAACCTGAAAGAGTGTAACATTCAACTAACCAAGCATTGTTCTAAGTTCTATAACAAAAGTTACGTCTTGCAACCACACGCTGTGTACTTAATAAAATTGTTAACTTTTATTTGAAGATTGCCTCAACTCTGTCTATTCTGTGTACCAAGTGCCATTTCTCACAATATTACAACTTACCTCACGTGGTGGCAGAAACGCAGGGAAAAGTAACCAAATGAAACTACATTCAAACTTGTGCGCCAACTGCGACCGTACCTTGGGAAGTCTGACTTAGCCACGGTAGTCCACGCTCTGGTTACATCCCGCCTTGATTACTGCAACGCTATCTACGTGGGGTTGCCTTTGAAGACAGTCCGGAAGCTCCAGTTAGTCCAACAGGTGGCAGCCATGATTCTAACAGGAGCGGGGCGCAGGGAGCATACAACTCCCTTGCTGAACCAGCTCCACTGGCTGCCGATATGCTACCGGGCTCAATTCAAAGTGCTGGCGTTGGCCTTTAAAGCCCTAAACGGTTCTGGCCCAACTTATCTATCCGAACGTATCTCAGCCTATCAGCCCACCAGGACCCTAAGATCTTCCGGAGAGTCCTTCTCTCTATCCCTCCAGCTTCAGAAGTGCGGCTGGCGGGAACGAGAGATAGGGCCTTCTCTGTGGTGGCCCCCCGGCTTTGGAACACCCTCCCTATAGAGGTACGATCAGCCTCTTCGCTGATGGTGTTTAGGAAGAGACTCAAAACATGGTTGTTCAAACAAGCATTCGGCTAATCTGTGGCAATCGAATCCTGGTGACTAAGGACAGAAAATATGGACAACGAATTCTGGACTGTGATTTTAACTCGAGATATATGGGATTATTATTGGTGGCCCAATAATTTGTTATTGTATGTGTATATGTTTTTAAATTGGAGATTGTTTTTAATTGCTGTAAACCGCAATGAGTCGCCGTTCCAGGCTGAGATATTAGCGGTATACAAGTGTATCAAATAAATAAATAAATAATAAATTTTTCTCTCCAGTCACGCTACAGTATACACAGGGTAATTACTAATCATAGAATCATAGAATCAAAGAGTTGGAAGAGACCTCATGGGCCATCCAGTCCAACCCCATTCTGCCAAGAAGCAGGAATATTGCATTCAAATCACCCCGACAGATGGCCATCCAGCCTCTGTTTAAAAGCTTCCAAAGAAGGAGCCTCCACCACACTCCGGGGCAGAGAGTTCCACTGCTGAACGGCTCTCACAGTCAGGAAGTTCTTCCTAATGTTCAGATGGAATCTCCTCTCTTGTAGTTTGAAGCCATTGCTTCATTGCGTCCTAGTCTCCAGGGAAGCAGAAAACAAGCTTCCTCCCTCCTCCCTGTGGCTTCCTCTCACATATTTATACATGGCTATCATATCTCCTCTCAGCCTTCTCTTCTTCAGGCTAAACATGCCCAGCTCCTTAAGCCGCTCCTCATAGGGCTTGTTCTCCAGAGCCTTGATCATTTTAGTCACCCTCCTCTGGACACAATCCAGCTTGTCAATATCTCTCTTGACAAGCTGGAATGTGTCCAGAGGAGGGCGACTAAAATGATCAAGGGTCTGGAGAACAAGCCCTATGAGGAGCGGCTTAGGGAACTGGGCATGTTTAGCCTGAATAAGTTATTACTTTCTTAATAAAGGAGGAGGTGCAATTGAACAGCCTCCCTTCCAACTTGATGGTAAATTTGGTTCCTAATCGACAACCTCCATTGCAAATCAGCCAGTTCTTTTTAAAATTGGGAACTGGGGTAAAATCTCCTGAATACTGGTTCCCATCAAATTGGTGGCAACAATAAATTATCCCTCAGCTCCCTTGCCTCCATAAATAAAAGGAGACCTGTACACACACCCAACCATGGGCTGCTGAAAGCAATATAGGAATACATAGAAAAAGATAGCTTTACCATTTCTGAAGATAAAATAGTTCCAATGAAAATGAGGAAAAAATTCTATTTTCTGTCGTTTTGAAAGTGTTTTTTGGAATATGTAAGCACGAATCCCCTTTCAGGGGGAGAAGGGCAGGGTATAAATATAGGAAATAAATCTATATAAATAAAAATGTAATGTTCGTTTGTGGGATTAACAGAACTCAAAAACCACTAACAACCCAATGTATGTCCTTCACTCAAAAATTGATTTTGTCATTTGGGAATTGTAGTTGCTGGGATTTATAGTTCACCTACAATCAAAGAACATTCTGAACTCCACCAACGATGGAATTGAACCAAACTTGGCACACAGAACTCCCATGACCAACAGAAAATACTGGAAGGGTTTGGTGGGCATTGACCTTGAGTTTGGAGTTGTAGTTCACCTACATCAGAGATCACTGTGGACTCAAACAATGATGGATCTGGACCAAACTCTACACGAATACTCAATATGCCCAAATGTGAACACTGGTGGGGTTTGGGAAAAATAGAATCTTGACATTTGGGAGTTGTAGTTGCTGGGATTTGTAGTTCACCTACAATCACAGAGCATTCTGAACCCTACCACCGACAGAACTGGGCCTAACCTCCCACACAGAACCCACATGTGGGCCACAGCAACGCGTGGCAGGGGACGGCTAGTAAATAAATACTAGTCTCTCTCCCCCCACACGCCAGGCAAGGGTGGCTGCACTGCGCAGCCTGGCCACTTGCAAGGCCCAATTCCCTCACTTGCCTCATGCTGCCAGTCAGGCCTGGAATCCCAAAAGATCAAAGTTCTTGCAGGGGCCAAGCCAACCATGTCTGCTATTTATTTAGACAACGCTGTGCCTTTAAGAAGCCTGCTTTCAATGCAAACACTCAGGGAAGGAGAGCTGCACTGGCCCGATGGGCGGCGGGAGGCAGATATATTCCTCATCTAGATATATTTTCCCACCATGGAGAGGGGCTTCTATTTTTTTTCAAAAAAATCAATTAAAAATGACGGGGTGCAGCTCTCCTTCCCTGAGTGTTTGCTTTGAATGCATGCTTCTTAAAGGTGAAAAAAGAAAAAGGTTGCAAACCCTGAGATTACATGGTCAGGACTTTTGCAGGACGGCTTCCTTTTAACCCTTTCTTCTGTGTGTGTGTGTGTGTGTGTCTCTCCCCGTGCACTCTGCTTTGGTGCCTTTTCCTTCCGCCACGTCGAGCCCTCATTTGAGCCGCTCCCTATTCAGATGGCGAGGAGAGCATCCGCGATTGGCGGAGGCGGCGCCAAGTGAGCGTGGCCAGGCAACGCCAGCTTACTTGGCCCAGAGGCCCCGTCCCTTTTTACTACAGGCAGCCACGCCACACAGGAGGGAGAAGCCTGGCCCGGCACGGCCCCGCATGTGTCGAGGGGCTTTGCGCCAGGCCAGGCTGTGCGGGCCGGATAAATGCCCTTGGCGGGTGGCATCCGGCCCGCGAGCCTGAGTTTGGGGACCCCTGGTCTAGGCGATGCATTCCTACAACATTGGGGGAAGTTCAAGATATATGCCTTGTGAAGGAGTGGTTAAACTGCTGCCACCAATTGTAACGATGACCGTTTTAATGCCACTGAATGCCACCAATTGTGAAGGTGCGCGTGGTAAAGCACCCACTGCCACCTTATCTATGAGGGAAGCCGGGCAATGATCAATATCAACCTAGGAGCTATTTTATAAAGGGACTGTTAATTACAGAAAGCTTTATTCACTTGATAGCGTCTTGGCTTGACTTTACTATTGCAGGCTGTTCAACTTAGGAGAAACTGTATCAGGCAAGGCTTGAGGAAAACAGTAACAAGTTTATTTTAACAGGAGTATAACAATGTATATCTGTTCTTCAAAAGAGGCACAAATCTTGATGGTTACATTGGAAAGGTTTCATGAGTAATCTCAGGCAAACACTTCAAAAGGTTCCACTTCCTCCTCCTCCTCTTCTGCATCCCTTGAAGGACAGGTGAATGTGTCACAATGGAAGCTGCAGCAACCACCAACAGAGCAACTAGGGAAGGATGCCAGGATGAGCTGCACCTCCAAGTGTCAAGTACTTTCTCTTGGGAGATGTAGAATTCTTGGAAACTGGCA